TGCCAACAATCAACGTCATGATTATACCCTCACAGGCCAACAAAATTATCAGGGGATTTGGCAAAGTTGGGTGTTGGGTGGTTGGCTGGTAAGTGGATTATTGGGAATTCTCGTATTGGGAAATGACAGAGGAAGAGCAGTTAAAAATATAAAATAAAAGAAAATAAAAGGTTTTTCTGTACGACACAAAGTTGAGGGATTCTCACAGATTTCAAACAGATTTAATTGCTTACAAAAAATTAAATATACGTATCGACATCCTTTATTCGACTTTTCTTTGACACAATTTCCTTTGCTTTGCTTCCCTTTCCCTGACTGAAAGCACATCCCCTATTCGTCTTGCACTTCAAACTTTATTACCGTCCGTTTTTCATTGCAAGAGTTTTATGGTCAAGCTGCAGCTGTATTTACTGACAATTAACGTTTTATGAGTTCTATTTTGTGCCGCCGCCGCCCCCCCAGAACCAGTTTTAACGCTTTTATATAGCTTCACGCCACGCCAAGCCATTCCATACCATTCCACTCCACACCATGCCACTCCATTTCATTCAAGAAGCGGCTAACTGCCTAATCAAGAGTTAATCCAGCTACCCTGCTCCTCTGCCTGGTCGTCCCGCGTTGAGTGAGGTCATGGCAGATGGCAGCGAGTGGAAGTACAGGGAACTGTACGCTACTGTAACGTCGAATAATAATTAGCTGGCAGCGCAAATTTTGCACAATTTATGCGCATGCAATCAGCACAGACTGTACTCGGGCAGTTTATGCTTTTTGTCTAATTTATTCACAACATTTTGCGATTATAAATGCTTAAATGATGGCCGGCATTAAGTTTTGGCTTCCGTTTTTGATTGCAATCACAAGGACAATGGACAAGCGGATATATGTACACACAGACGGGATGTACCATGTGGACCATGTCTTTCCTTTCGTCTTGTCTGTGACGACCCAAGGAACCTTGTGTTAAGTGAATTTCGGTCGATGTTTTCTATTTGCAGTTTCAATTGCAAATTAACTTTGCAATTCCTTGTCTAACAATGCCAAGGAGAGGAGAGCACTTCCCCTGTGACTGTGCCTGCCCCTGTACCCACCACATGTGTGCAAATGTTCTACAAATATACGATGCCAAGAACGTTGTCTTTATAGTATAGATGTCGGTATATATATATCTAGTATAGCACCACATGGCAGCCACAAAAATAAACCCAACTGCCACTGCTGCTGTTGCTGCTCTGAAGTGGAAAATGCAATGTTCTTTGCTTCGTTGGCTGTTCGTTCCCCGTGGTTCGGTTCCCCTTGAACCCTTCTAGTTATTTCTAATTAAAGCTTAATTGTGTCTAACATTGTGAATGGCAGCCCCAGGGCCCTGACAGCTGTATGCTGCCTAGTAAGTGAACAAATTAAAAGGAATATCAACAAATTAAAGTTCAACCTTAGCCGCTCGCTAGATAATTCCTTCCGCCTCGAATCACCCTACCAAATATCCAACCGATATTAATCGACACAAATCCAATGTATAACCCGGAGGCTTACACAGTTTTAGAGCATCTTTCCCGGGTCCATTCCGTCGATTATTAATGTTCGTACGTGCATCAATGTTGCTGCAGCTGCTACAGGGCAGCAGCCGGAGGCTCACAAGCTGCAGCAGACAATACTCCGTCACAGAGACTGCGAAAGAGAGAGGGGAACATATTTACATAAAGACTTAAGCCGGAAAGCCAGTGAACGTGGCCGAGTCACGTTTATTGGCCACAGGCTGTGGTCGGTCACACAACCAGCACAAATCATGCAAAATTAAATTCCAAAATAGGAAACAGAACACTGAAAATAGAAAACTGAAAACAGAATTTCTGTTTTCTCTCCACCTCCCCAAAAATTTAGTGGCAGAAAAGTTTCCCATTCAATTATTGATTGAAGGCAAAAAATGTTTCTGCATTTTCCACTAACCAAAGCAAATGCAATTGTCCAACTACTCTGCAAAAAGTTACGCATACGCCACAGCACAGCAAGAAACCATTTTGGGTCCAAGTGTTTTGGACAAAATGGGGGCCGGAGCTGGGGGTACCATATGTCACTTGGCTTGTTTGAGCAAACGCATAGGAACACGAAGCGAAACATGTTGGAACAACTGTGGAAACCAGTGTACGATACTGGAAAGAAACAGACACAGAACTAGAGTCAGAGTCAGAACTCGAACCAGAACCAGAACCCGAGGCAAAGGACAAACAACAGACCGGCAGCAAAATATGGCTGACGTGCGAGTCTGGTGTTTGAAAATGCAATGAAAACGAGAAACCCCAAAGTCAAAAGCCAATATACGAGTAGCAGCAAATTTGTGGCATTCAGGAGCAAATGATATAGAAGTAAAGGAGTAGATGTCCAGCTTAATGGATGTGTGTCTGTGCATTTTAAATGCCATGGAATTGGGATTTGAAACAGTAGAACTTGAGAAGAAAAGTTCAGGTTTATCTGGCCACAAACTTGAGTAGTATTTAGCAGAAAGGAAACTTTTGCTATAAGAACTATATTTGCATTTGCTGTCCAATCCTAAAAACCCATTTTCCCTATACCTATACCTATACCCTACACCTAAGTCGAGTAGAGCATCTCTCACATAGGCAAAACACACAGAGCTATTGTTTGATTTGAATAGTTTTGTGCCACACATGCTACACGAGTGGTCTACTCTTGTTAGTGTTGCCTACTTTTGTGCGACTTTCAGCTGTTTTAACTCGTCGTATTTTTGTTGCACTTGTTGGACCTGCCAAACTTTAAATGCAACAAGCAAAGAATATTTATTCGTATATATATATGCGCACGACATATATTGTATGTGTAAATATATCTTTGGACAAGTTTTAATTATAATTTTTTGTGTGGCGCTGCTGCTGTTTGACCGCCATCACGCATACGCCCCCATGGCGTTTCGCTATTCAACTTATTTATGACTTTATGTTTTTGGTTGAGCAAATTTAATTAAAGTTCATTTTACGGACATTCATCAGCAGGGAAGTAAATATATGAGGGAGTACATACATATATGCAAACATATATCTATATGTACATATGTACATACTAGGAACAGTCACAGACATTTAAATAATATTCTTTTTGGCTCAGACAAATTGCTGCAGATTTTTGTTTGTCAAAGAAATTAGGGCAGATTGAAGAGTTTTTTCAAAGGACAAGATACAATTAAAAACATTATTATTATATGCAAATAAAATATTTTTGCATATTTATGTTATACAAGAAATTTTTTTTAACATTTGCATCGTTTTCAGAACCCATCATAGAACCCATTTATTACAATAAACATCTTTCTATTCAAAATACCTTAAATAATGTTGTCCGTTTTTATACGGTAATTCTCCTGGCATGCTGAATTTTTTGTTGAATATTCCACATATTGGCTCTATACTAAGGATCAGTATATCCCACCAAAAAGTCCTTTATCGTCCCACGCTTCCTGGTCAAATATCATGGCCCAGAAAACCAGGGACCCCCTTTCGATTTTTGTTTGTTGCCTTTCCGGTTGAGACTCTGGCTGATTCTGTGACCGCAAGAAAACTTCTAACGAGTTTCATTTTCGGGATTTTTCTTGGCTGTTGTTTTGCGTGGGTGCCGTGCTGGCCGCCTGTCACTTGCCAACAGGGGACATTTTTTTTGGGGTTTCCTTTGCAGCCCCTCCCCGGCTATTTCTTCTTTTTGCTGTTTGATGATTTATATCACAATTTACTCGCATTCAGTACGCTATTGTGTGGCACGATGGCCGACTACTTGGCTGTTATTGAATTACTTGTGGCGCGTCGAAACTTACCTAGAGCAGGATCTCCAGCAACCATTCAAAAAGAAGAGAGAGAGAGAGCAAGAACTGTCGATGATAAATCAACGTACTAACGAATTTTTTTTTTTGGCTTTTGCAGCGTTTGTTTCGTTAGAGAGAGAGAGAACCAGAAGCAGCATAGAGGAACCAGAGAATGAGCACAGAAACCAGAGTGAGAGGTAGATTCTCTGGGTTCCTTTAGGTTAACAATACTTTAAGCCTTTTGTGTTTGCTTTGGACCAAGAACAGAACAGCTGTAGCATTGGTAGCTGGGCTGCTTCATAAATTTGCCAGTTTTGCTTTTGTTTTCTCGAGATTTTTGCTTGAGTTATTTTTAATTTCATGGCTCTGGCAATTTCTCAGCGTCAGTTTGGAAAAACCTGCCACAGACAGGGACAAAGTGAGGGAAAAACCCGAACAACGAAACACTCATTAGCTTTTGTTGTGGCCAAAAAGGGAAAAGAATGCATATTTTCCCCTACACAGATAATCATTTCCAATTGTTGATGGCCTGTGTTTAATTAAATTAGCAACACTCGAGTAATTAAAGGCAGCTTTCGTTTTCTTTGCCCCTCACGCTCTCCTTCCTTTGTATCCCTTTTTTGGGGCAACATCAATCATATGCCAAAACACAAATACGAGTACAAGACTTGACGAAAATTTTTCAACTTTTTGCCGCTTTCTCTGTGTGTCAGCCTCAAGAAGATTTATGGCTAAAAGTGGGTGGGATGGAGGGACACATGTGAGCAGGGAAAAGCAAAAACAAACGAGAAGGGAAGTGTGAGACGCTTCTTACGCCTCACAACTTTTATACCCGGTACTTACAATTTGTTCTTCATCTGTCATCTACATACATTTACCTCACTTCTCACGCCAACACGCTCCTTTAGCTCGCCCCTCTCCCTTAGAGCAATGCACTCGAGAGTCGGTGGATTTGTAGAGCTATGTATGTATACTAATGATCTGAGCCTATCTTATTGTGGGGATCTGATATATATGGCCATACCATATTTACTCTTTGAGTGGCCCAGTCTAATCTTACATACAATGTATAGCATAACACACCGACTGTACTTATTACCAGAAAGTGAACGATCAATTAACTAGCATATTATTTTGTAAGCTTGAGGATATCAACCGTAATATAAGATTTGCATTGATACAGATATTTTGTATTTTTACGACTTTCTAGCTGATTTCGGATTTTTGATAAATAAGGGGTAAACATTTAACGTATTTTTAAAAGCCGAAATATCCACTATGTTTGTTGGATCATCGACATGTCCCATAAGTTCTATTTTAATATTATTGCCCATCTGTTCAAACAAGAGCTGTTCATCGGAAATGTTGCGCTGTACTTCATCCAATAGTTTAGCCAAAGAACCGGGTCGTATACCGAATCCTGTTCCTGACCTCTGCCTAGCATCCGAAATGGACAGTGTTGGAGACCGAGCTGGTAGATTACATTGACCAACGACCTGGACTGAAAGCTTTCGAAAGTCATTGTTTTCATAGTCCAATAAGAAATCCAGAACGTTCTGCTTAGAGATACCATTTAGCGTCCTTATTTCAATTTCCATGCGATTAAAGAAGTACTCAGTGGTAACGATTTCGATCCAATTCCGCATAACTTCTTCGACTAGGCTAGTATCGCCCACCCTCTTGCTACTAATAAGCGTTTCGCGCACATCATTGAACTCGATTTCACTAAGCTGGGACACAAGATCCGGTATGCAAGACCTAAATGCCTCCAAACGTCGCTCCACATAATCAGCTGAATGCTTTGTTTCCTGAGTATTGATTGCAAAAACAAAGGCCAGCACGCCGTAGCCAACACATTGATACATACTCAGGCTGTAGCCCAACTGTTCTTGAGTACGCAGCTGTTTAAAAAAGGGCTCTTCCACAATTAATTTTACCAGATCCATCATACACTCTAATTTTAGTTCGCTAGGTCCAATTTGATAGTAGTTTGATACGATTGTATTAGTATCTTCCTGGTTTAAATTTTTCGCACGCAAATAATACGATCCAAGTGGAAGCTGAACTAAGCTATTGTCCAATGAGGATGGATTATCCAATTTTTGGCTATTGTAAGTGGAAATTACTTTTTGCATTACCTCACTTGCTTGTTTTTGAGTAAAATTTCCCTGTACGAGTGCCTGTATGTACATTTTCTTGTGAAAATTATCCTTGAAGTGTCTGACGTCATCCACGTTTAATTTATCGATAGATTCATATTTCTGTAGCATACTAAATCGTTTATTCTCCAAAACCATTAAACGTAAATCATGATTTAAAATCTGTCCACTAATGAGCGCATTAAAAATTTGGCGCTTCTTGAGGGCTTTAAAAGAAATCACTTGCGCTGGATCTATTGTTATAGTGCACATTACCTTCATGATTGATTCTACCAAAAGAGGTAGTTTTTGGTTGTAACCACTCACACGCAGAATCAATCCCTTATCACCCATATACAGTCCATATGTTAATCCGGCTTCTAAAGCTGGATATAATTGCTCGGCGATGTTAAATTCTACCAAGTAGGTAAAGAGCACGCCAAGCATATAATTACGTGCGCTTTCACGAACCAAAGGAGTGATAAAATATATATTTATATAGCCATCAGGCAGTAGGAATGTATCATCTTGTCGAAACCACAACTCACAAAGATCATTTCTTTTGAGGACCTTGGGACGTCGTGGTATATGTAGCATACCTTCTTTTTGCCAGTGCAGTGTGAAGTCCGTGGTTATGAACGGATTCGATTGTGGAAATTTCAATTCTTTAAATGACGGTGGATCATGCCACATGGCTATCCATTTTAATGGTATAGGAATCGTTGTGTACTGCGTACCAAACCATTTCTCCGTCTGATTGTAGTTTTGATTTAAATATGGAATGTGCGAAGAGATCATTATATTAACATGGAATGCACTGAGGTGCTCTTTTAGTATCCGTAGAGCATCTGCATCATATTCAAAATACAGCTGAGATCCTGTAAGGACATCTTTTGGAGGTAGATAACCAATGCTCTCCACCACATTTTGTACATTTTCCATCGAAGGTAGCTGGATTTGAAATCGAAAACTATTTTCTGCAATCTGTCTAAACTCTTTATACATAACCTCTCGACCTTCGTCGCTCTCAATTAACAATTTAATCCATGCAAAAGTAACTTCCAATACCTCATCTATGTGCTCGAACCCATCGTCTGTAAGGTATATGCATATTTTGAACATCGAGTAGATGGAGTTTGATTCGAAACTATCTCCTCCAGTACTCGCCATGACGCTCATGCTCCACAGACGTTGTCGTAAATAAGAGCATAGGCTTCCCACACCTTCATATTCAATTAGTTGCGAGAAAAAAGCCTCTGGCTTACATCGATAATAATTCCGCATTGGGGGAAGAACCCATGTCAACTCCAATTTGCAAACATCTTTTACAGGATACACAAGAAATACGTCGCCGAAAAAAGTATCATTAAATGCTTTCTGATAACTCAAACTATCCATATTTTTTGCATTTTCCTCACTGTTGGGTATGTCTGCACAATGACGAACTAGTAGGTCTTCTATTTCATCCAACGATTGCTGCGATTCAATACAGACAATCATACGATTTGACCCATAATGCTTTCGTCGAAATTCATGAAGCGCCTCGTGTAGCAGTTTGTCATCTACCTGATCTTTAAGAGATTTAAGATTTCCCCAACTGAAAGTACCATGGGGGTAATTTTCACTAGCTAAACTTGCTAATATCTGATCACGCCGGACTTCATCCCGCATAGATGCCTCTTCGAACTCTGATTGGACGGCAAAACGTTCTCGGACTATGGCATCGGGAAGAAAAAGCGGGGCTTTTATTAAATTCATGAACATATCCATAGCTTTATCTAAATGGACTTCTTCCACCTCAAAGTAAAAGCACGTTTCTTCGTTATCTGTATGGGCGTTACTAAAACCCCCGCTTTTCGTTATAAATGCGTCAAATTCGTTTTCCATGGGATACTTCTTGGAACCCATAAATATCATATGCTCTAGAAAATGTGCCATTCCCTGATATTGCCGCGGTTCGCTAAAGGATCCAACGTTCACAAGTACCGCACAGGCAGCCAAATTTCCTTGAAAATGCTCTAAAGACGGATTGGAACTCTCACTACTACTGGCGATCCGAGTAGGTAGAGGGTGGAGAACTTCTGGTGTATGTTCTATTTTATTCGTTGAATCCGATATCAGCATGGCTCGCAATCCATTCGATAGACTTAGGGCTCTGTAGAGTTTCTTGTCGCAATCGGATTTATCGGGTGGTTCATGATATTGAACAGTGGTTTCAAATGTTCGACATAGCCTCCTGAACATTTTTCTTTGAGTGTTTCTGACCCCAATGAACGGCTCCAGGCACATTTTTAGTTTCATGTAGTAGGTAACTTTGTTGTGCTATATACTATTTATTAAATGAACTTTAACTCTGTTCATGCAAAACCAAACAAATTTTGTAAAGGCTCCTACAATTTTAGAGAAAATGCCATAGGACACTTAATCCAACCCGTTTCAAACTGAATTGTAGTTCTCCGGGACATGGAGCCTGAAATATTCTCAGAACTGCAAGGCTCTTTGAAAAAGTCTATCCGCCAACATGTTCGTCCGTCCGTCTTGAAGACCACCTGGATATCCAAGACTGTTAAAGCTATAGCAACCAATTTTTGCATTAACATTGTATTTCACTCCCTTTCACTAACGACCAACAAAAGCGCCAACATCTTCTATAGTGTAGACAGACGTACAGACATGGTTATATCGACTCGGCTATTGATGCTGATCAAGAACATATATACTTTGTGTGGTCGGAAATGTTTCTATAAAAAGGTATAAGAAAGATACAAACAAATGAAAGGAAAGATAGATTTGTTGACGAACTTCTGGATACATTAAGGCGTTTAGGACGAAAATGAAGAGTTCCTCAAGCTATTGTTAACATAAAAACTAACTGGAGAAGAGAGCAAAAGCTTGAGCCTCTTTCTTGATTCCCATCAATAAAAAAAAAACTTAAAGATATACACTTAAAATATTCAGTCCTGCCTGCCTTCCTAGCCAACGTATTCCTAAGCTCCTCATACCCTCTCAAAGGGCACACAAAACGCAAAAAGAAAGCCAAGAGAAATAGCAAAAAAAGAGGACTGAAAAATCTCCCTTAAACGGGTCTAACAAATGTAGTTTTGAGTCACATTTGGCTCGGCAGCCGGACTGATTGTTTAAATAAATGAGTCCCAGCGCAAAAAAGATTCCCCTCCTTCTATTTATCGATTTTGCATTGCCACATGCAGCTGTCCTCCCAACCTCCTCTAAATTGACAAGCCTTTGATTGATGATAATGCCTTTTGGGGCATGGAAACCTTCCAAACCCTCCCTCCAAGTACATTAATTCACTAAAAAGTTGAATTTTAGTTTTGTTTTGTATGTGGAGGGGCCCACTTGTAGAAACCGTTTTCCTTGTGGGGTTCTAACGAATAGTTTGCAATTATGCCCGATGCCAGAGTTGGGCGGGTGCTGCCATTATGGGGAAAGGACGAACCCACAACCGGACGACACCCTCGCCAAGAACTCATCCACTTCAATGTCTTCGCCCCCTGCCATCCATCGACATGTCGGGGCGTTTGATGGAACGACCACATAACCATTTGACCGTCCATTCCTCAACATGCCTACAGTGCGGTACACAGCTATAAGGCTTCACTATAACGATTGGTTATATTGGTTGTGTCTAAGATGTGGGCGAGGATTTAGGATTTAGAGATGGAACGAAAACGTGCTTAAGCGAAGGAAAAATTTAAAAACTTTTGAATATGTTAATGTACCGCACTGTCCCCACTCTCTGCTGTGTCATAAAAATGCTTCATCAATGAATGAAAAACTATATGTGTTCCATCCATATGTGTGAGTATGTGTGTGTGTGATTATGTGTTTGTGTATCGAACAATCGATAAACATAAACATTTGAGCTTTAAATTCAATATCCTTGATGGGCCGACACTTTTGTGTGTCACACAATGTATGAATGAATGAATGAGTGAATGTATGAATCAATGGTCCATTGGGCATTCTCTGTGTGGCAATCTGATGGTAAGTAGTGGCAACTTAATGTTGCATGACACACTTTTAGTATAACTAATTTTCCTTCCCATGGCATTGCTCCTCAAATAAAATTGGATGCGCTCGGGCAGGAAATGAAATTATGTGCTCTAATTTTCCAGCAGCTGTCTCAGGATTGATGCCTCTTCTTCACTTTAATAAGCCCCAAATTATATGGCAATATGGTTGGCTACCTCCCACCACCGCCCACCCCCAGGCCTTTCTTGGCCACAACTTTTTTTTGTTGCCCGGCCTGCACCAATTTGATTTTGTCATTAAAAAGTTTTTAGCGAAATAATAAAGTTTGTCAGCGCGTAATGCAAGTGGAAACCGACGAAGAAAAAAAATCATAAAAAGAGGAGGAAACAAAAAAGGAAATCAGAACCCAAAAGTGGCCAATGAAAGTTTTCAGTTGTGAGCAATCGGAATGGGTGGGAGGGGCCAAGATAGCCTGGCCAAAAGTACAAGTACGAGTAGCCAGAACCAAAACTTAATACTTATCAGAGATGTGTGGCCAACCGATATGTCAAGAACTTAAACTGGAAAAGACACTTAATCCGGCCCCCTAAGGATTGCGAGTAAATAGCCAGCCAGTTATCGCTTTTGCTGGAGAAATTTTTAATTGATATTTTTAATTCCATTACAGAATTGATGACTGTTTAAATAGTTTTGGTTTTCGAATGCAGGCCAATCAAGATTGTAAGGGAAGATAAAAATGGTAAGTGGAAAACTTTTGGAATGCTTAAAAAATGCAAGTGCGATTTTTTTAAATGCATTAAAATTGGCTTCAGACATCTGCGCTCTGAAGGGAGTTCTAATGAGGAATTTTGTGTACCCGCATAGCATATCCAATTACAAGACACTTGCTAAGTTAATGAGATAAACTAAGCCAAACCTCAAGCCAGGGCATGAGTTTGTCGACATAAGGCGTCTGCCTTTTTTGAGGCAATTTTAAATGGTATATTCTCTTAAGAAGTTCATAAATTAAACTTGTGAAAGGTGGCACTGTCGAGTCACTTTCTGCTCGTAATTGAATTACAATGGAAACTCTGGCCGTTGCATAATTCAATTAGCAATGTGCAAAAAAGAGTGGCCTGCCCCAATGGCATGTTCTGTGCAGAAGGCAACGTATGCGCAATGCGGAAGTACATAGCCAAGGACAGGAGGGGAATGTCGGAGGAGGATGGAGAAGCAACAGGACGCGAGTTGCGATGCGCTCCGATGCTATGCTGCTACGTTATGAATTACATTTCAATATGCTTCAACGTGTTCATCATTTATTTAGCCGTCTGGGGAAAGATGCCAGGCTGCGAAATGCCAATAAGGAGGATCCTTCGGATGGCGGCTGGCAGCTTCAGCTTCAGCTGATGGCATTCCTTCTGGGACACCTAGCCGACTGCAAACAGGAAGTGGAATGCTGCCGCTGCTTCTAAGCAGAGTGCTGCCGAGTGCTCCGTTTGCAATTTCCGTTTTGTCACATTTGTCTAACTAAATGGAAATTTATGCACTCTCCTGTTGCTGCTCCTCCTCTGCCTCAATGATCTGACTCTGGCCCACTGTTTCGGTGGCTGACTGGCTCAATGCTTTATTCACGGTCGAGTGCTTAATGAAAGAGTCATTACACTCATTCATTCATTCAATGGTTGATTCATTCATGAGAAGACAAGTGCGCGTGTCCTTTTGTTTTTTCATTTCCCTTTCGGTGTTTTCCCCCTCTGCTCGCGACCGTCTCCGTCTCCTCTTCTTGTTGTTGTTGTCGTTAATTAATTGATTTTCATTGAGGCGTCTGCCAGGGCTTTGGGCAGCATTAATCATGCTCCATGTTACCACCGTGGAACCAAGGGGGTGAAGCCTTCGCAGTCACACTCGCCTTGTTATTCTTTCATCAGATTTTCTTCATGTTTTACCTTTCCATTTCCATTGCCATTTCCGTTGCTTTATTTTCACAGATTTTTCTGGAAAGAGAACTGCCGTTCAGAGTTCTGAGCTGCTGCAGAGTCTTATGCCGTGTCAAAGTTTTTCATTAACGCTTCAGTGAGGTAAGTGGGGGAGCGGGCAGCGGAGACACAAAAATTGAAAAGCGAAAAAGTTGCATCTGCTGCAAGTTACAAATATTTCAGCTACCCTAGCCAAAAGGTACGATTGAGGTGTAATACAAGTGAAGGGCAAGTAATTTTATATTTGACTCTCAGTGACAAAATAAGAAGAGCATCCACAAGTTTACATCACTAAACTGCAATCCTGTCATAAAATGATTGAAAATTGAATAGAAATTCGCAAGTCTTTTGTGCCGCAGTTCAACTAAAGAAAATTCCTGCAAAGCATTCGCACAGCTGCATTCAGTTTGAGAGATTTAAATGGCAATCTGCTGCCAGAATGTTGCTTATTAGAGTTTAAAGATAAAAACCTGTCAGTGCGCTGCCACTTTTCCAATTTATGCATCTCCTCCGTAAACGTATAACTCACCTGATAATGGCCGTCCGTAAAGAGCATACAGCCTTCTGCCATTTTCCACTTTTCTTACAATTTTCCGGATGCCAATGGGAAAGTTTTTCGATTGCCGCATGCATCGCTGAACCCAAGGATGTGCGCCCCTGCAAAAGTAGCAGCAACAATTTACGTGCATCTATAATCAAATTAGTGCAAAAAGATTAAACAAGTTTAATTGCATACCAGAGGAAAAACAAAATGCATTCCAAAATGCATTTTGGAATGCATTTAGGTGTAGGCAAAAATAAACAGCAGCCAAATATCCTCTGCTGTCACAAAATGTCTCATAAATAATTCTCGGGGGAGCACCACAAGCGGATTTGGCATAATAGATGGCCAGGATTTATGTGATGTGCGGTGATGCTGCCTGAAATACATACATACATGTATATACGTATTATTAGTTGAATTTATCTATATAACGATTGAATAACGACAGAGGGATGGGGGAGGCTTACAGAAAGTGTCTTCCGGTCTCTCGAGGCGACTGCCAGCGCCTGATTAGCATGAATCAATTAAATTGGAGCTCCCGCGCCGCGTATTTGCGGTCCAAGGAGCTGACATTTCAGGCTTAGTGGTTGACGTTTTGACAGTTTTATTGTTGGACCATTATTTCGGCGCAGACGGCGGTTAAGAAGTCAGCCAGTTCTATGATATATTAATGAATTTGTTTTAAATTAATAACATTTAATAATATTTAGCTCATATGAATTAATTAGTTAACAGCTATTTATTATATTCGATTACAATTTGAACTTTAAATTTAAATGAACGTGAACAAATTGCATTTGCTTTTTGGACTGCTTGCTGGAACTGCTTGGTATACAGTATGGTATAATTTAGGGAATTGTATATACACTGCTTGATACACTGCTTACAACTGGGTGAAACTGCTTGCTCGAGTGCTCTCATTTTCTTGCTAGCCAAATTCACAACCACTTTTAAAAGCTTATTCAGAGACCCAACAGATGGCGCCAACTGGATTTTCCAAATATAAACAATTATGTTTTATTCTGTTAATACAATACCATTTTATTAAATAATTTAATTTATCAACTGTAAATGCTAATACGTAATGCCTCTCAATCACAATAAAGAAATCGTAATATTTCGTTATATATATAGAGCTAAATAGTCGGTTTTTTTTGGGACTTAAAGAAAACAAAAAAGAGATACCATCATATCGCAAAATTATTTAGGCAAACTGCGCGATATCTTATCAAAATTTTAAGAATTCTAACTAAATGAAAAGGGAAATAACTTCCCAAATATACATACGCCTAAATATACGAACTATACTTAGTTAGAAACTATAGTAACAGGCTCTAAATTAATGCTAATTTATAGTTAATTTTGGTAATTTGTACAAATGGAAACGCAAAGGGAAATTTAACTAAGGCAAGAGGGGTACGACAGACACAACACGGAATCTACTTGTAGTCTAAATGGAAATGGATATGGTAATGGCAATGCTAGCATAGCTTAGAGTTATATACAATAGTTATCTATATACATCCAGGGGGCGGGCCATCCTCTCATTTATTCCGTCTTGGTTTCAGTTTCTACGGAACGTTTGGACACCTTTTCGCTGGACGCTTCAGTCACCGGCTCTTTCGGAGCTGGCATTAGCTCTCCCACACCCAACTTTGTGGGCAGGGCATCGGGAGCATTGATGATGCCATAGGGTCGCAAATGGTAAATCAGATAGTCCAGGACATACATTTGATTTGGCGAGACATAGTGAAAGGATATGGCATTGTCCGAACAGCAATCCAAGCCCTAAAAGAATAGAAAGAAATTAGGAATTTATCGACATTGGAAAGCAGAGCAGAAACCAGCCTCATCGGTCTTGTAGAAGATGTACTGCCAGTACCAGAACTTCTTCTCCGTATGCGCTGGTATTAAATGGTGTTCTGGCACAAAAGGAAAAAATCGTCCCCGTCCATTGGCATCGCGGGAGTCTCCGGCCAGCACCTTGACATTCTCCAGGCACTTGCCCATCTCCACATCCTCGGCACCGGTGTTCTCCTGCTTGCACATTTTCGGATTGGGCAGGGCCTCCTCAATGAAGCGACGCACTGCCTCGCGACTGAGGACATACCCAGCACCACCGGACATGTAACCCTGCTTTACGTACGGCTTAAACTTGCAGCCAAAGTAGACAGGGGTCTCGGGGTTATACGGATACAGCATATAGCGCAAATTCTCCACTATCGTGTAGGTGTCGTCGTCGGCCTTCAGGAACCAATCCGCATCGTTGATGTGGTGCTCGTATATGTACTTGTATGCCTCCTTCGTCTTGCCCCACAGATTATTCCGTCCCTCGCCTATGGGCAGAGCCACAGCATCTAGTTCTTCATCCTTGGCGGAGCTCATGAAGATCAGCTTGTTGCAGCGTTTCCCCCACGTGCGCTTCACGTGGCGCGCCTTCTTCTGGTGGTTTGTCGGATTGGTCATGATCCAGCACAGTACCCGCACCTCGCTATACAGCTTCTCCGCAATCGAGGCATTCTCATGAGCATGCTCATGGGTTCCCACATCCTGCTCTGGCCCCGTCAGCTCCATCATATCATGGCTGTGATGGGCATCATTGACATCGCCATGCCGGTGGCCATCATAGGGCATAAACTCGGCACGTTCCGGCGTGGAGTACACAAAGAGCTCGGCCAGGCAGAAGCCCACTATGAGGCCCACAATCAGTGAGACAAAAGATCGCTTATTCGAACGTCCTGCGGAAAATATGAACGATTATTTATGAATACCAAATCAAAGTTAAGTTAATTACTTACCTTCATTGAGTATGGATCGTCCAAGCAGACTATTGGCAGTCATTTGGCTTTAGTTTGGGATTCTGTGCGGGTTTGGGTTTTCGAATAGAGTTGGAGGAACTCTTTTGGGACTTTCTTCTTTGGTTGAGTTGATTTATATCCACTTTGGTTTTATCTTACATCTTCTGCAATACAAGATCTGCATTATAGAAACATGTGTACCATAGATTGATTGAAGCTCGAACTCTGAGGTGCAACTGCACTCGTCTGTCGCTCATTAACAAGTGTCAGCTATCTGAATATTTTGCGGGTTGTGGCTCGTTTCGGCTTGCCATCGTTCTGAAACTGTGTTAATCTCATGCAAAAACGTGACAATTTCTTGAAGAATCGCTCATTGCATTCCCGCGTCTGCCGACTGCTGCTGCAGCTCTGCTTCTGCTCTGCTACTGCTTGATAAATATTTATTTAATAAAACATTTTACTTATTTCTTATTTGTTGCATATTTTTCATTTGCAGTTTCTTTCCTACTAAGAGTATGCACGTCTTAAACATTTGCGATCCGCTCGTTCTTCCTCTTTTTAGCTCTAGAATTTCCGCTGAACGTTTTTTGGCATTTACTCATAGATTTGTACATGTATCTACATATGGCTGTACATATCTATGTGCGGTGGTACACTTTGTAAACATATTTAACGATGGAATAATGGCCAAAAGTATCTACAGCAAATTTGTCTAATTTCGAGTTGGTGTCGTAAAAATCGCAAGAAAACATTAAACATTATCTAAACATTCATTATGTTTGACTTTTCCAGTGCAAATGTTGAACAAAGACAATTACACGTTTGACACTTGACTGAGAAAAACCACTTGGGGTGTGAGAGTTATTTTTTGTGGAAGAGTTCGTTGGGGTGCGTTCATATAGTTATTCATAAATAATAGGCTAAACATATAGTTCAAGCTCTTAGTAAAATGAAAATGAATATCAGCGATCACTTGAGATGTCTTTATTTACTTGATTAGTCTGTATAGATACTTCTGTGGACCACTCACTGCTCCTTCGAGTATCTTCTGCTTATCCTTCTGGGGATATCTATTGGATGTCTTTTTAACTTCACTACGATGCTTCGCAATTTATACGTGCAAATGTAACCACATTATTGGACTCAGCAATTACAGCTGCGTCAAAAACAGCTGTGACAACCGATGAAATCAAAATACAATTTATTTTATACCCATCATTATTTAAATAAAATAATAAAATGATTTCCGAGTCTTTGCAAATATTCAGAACTGCTGTTAAAGTATCTTGGACCGAACAATACCACGTTTCGTGAAAGAATGCAACCGGAGAGCTCAATGAGAGAGAGTTTTAAACAAAATGCAAGTGCATTTTCCGAATTATCTTCTATTTTTTGCTCCCTAATGCATTTTTTATCAGCTGGTAAAAGCAGACGACTGCAGTCGTGCGTGCGTTTGCCAAAAAGCGATAATATTTTATGGTTTGTTCATTAAAGTAATTGATTTATTTTGAATGAATCACATGGGTCTGGGGTGAAACTTGGGCCTGGGCCTGAGGCGTGGACTCAGCCAATCAGCAACTACTTAACCTTATCGCCAAGTGATATTTACACTTTATCGTTAGGTTTGGCAAGGAGTATAGCGATAACGTTTCATGACCATTTGATGGTTTCATTTTTCAATCACATTTTGTGGGTCAATTTTTACCGGCAAGCCAAAGTTTCCCAATAACTTATTCCATTAAGAATCTATTAACACAATCAGTTTCTGGGAATTGGGTTTTATCAATTGAAATACACTTATCCTTATCTTATAGATAATTGCGGAAATTTCCTCCATACATTTGATTCCCATAGCGCGATATGCAGCAGCGCCTCTCTGCCGATTGGTCGGTAGGAGATCTGAACTTCGTGGCATTATGCCACATCTTGCAACAGCTTCAACCTTATTGCCAGACACCAGTGTATGATCGGCTTAGATCTACAGGTGATCATAGACGTAATTTTTGTTTGTACAGCTGCCCCATAGTCTACACTACCTTCCAATTACGTTTGAATGAGCTACAACTCCAAAAATTTCTTAATGTTCAGTTCCAGTTCGTATGTCGTAGAAAAATGATATCATCTAAAATTCAGTTACCTTGGCTGTCCAACAAAGGTAAGAAAGATCATCCAACGCATAAATTGATTATAATTTCTATACAATATATTATATTTCAGTTCCCCTGGGGCATCTGATTTTGACAGTTCTGACTGGTCTGGTGGTATTCTTTGGATTAGCAAAACTAGTGTCCGTTCCGCTGCGCATCGATAGCTTTGATAGCTTTAGATACCCCAACCTCCAAGAGGAGGATGAGGGCCGACAATCAGGTCAAGGATTTGGACCCTGAGCCTAAGAGGGGGCATCCATGTAATTTCAATGAGTGGCTGTCGTTAAATGTTATGTGAATTCAATTGCATCATGTGGGTGGAGACCTCATTGCCAGCACTGCCACCATTTTGCAATTGTAATTTTAATTGGAAATTAATTAAATTTAAGCATATGCCAGTCCGAGTTCCATTCCAGCAATTAAACGCAATTTAATATCGTTGTAAATTTGCCTATCATTCCAGATGCACGAGGAAGGCTTGGCGCACCTTTCAAACAATAAATATTGTATCTAATTTTAGAATCTAATCCACCATAAGTGCAGTCGCTTCCAATTGAAAATTAGCAATATAACCAACAAAAAAAGAGTAAATTATGTAATTATCTATTGCCGAATCACGAAAATGAACTCATTTGACAACATGCGTGTCATTCATACTTGAACATATGTATGTACATAAGTACATTCGTATATATAGTAATATATACAACTGAAACTTCGTTCCTTGCGTTTTATTTATCAAATATTTGGACTTTTTTTATCTGCAGACAATTACACTGCCACGGGGTGTTATCATTGACAATTAAGTTGGCAAATTTGAGTCCGTAGATTTATAGATAAAATGTTTATCATGGGTAGACACCCCATATTAAACTTTTATGGCAATTTATATAAAGTTTATTACGAGGAACGTTGTATATATCATTTTTAAAACGAATTATGTTTAATAAGTAAATTAAATTATAAAGAACTTACTGAAAGAAAATTATACAAAACGAGAAGGGACGTGTGAGACGCATTTTACACGTCACAACTTTTATACCCGGTACTCAGTCAAAGTACCTGTCCCATATTTTTTTTTTTCGAATTTTACATTTGACATTCAACATTTTTTCTACATCTGTCATATACATCTACATCTACATAACTTCTCACGCCAACATGCTATTTTCGCCCCCCTCCCCTAGAGCCGCACACTGCATCTGCAGTGGATCTCCATGGCTAAGGCAGAGACGCGGCAGAAGCAGAGTGTGAATGAGAGAATGTGAAAAAAAACAAGTAGCTTTTTGCTGGACACTGCCAATTTCTTCATTGTGGCTTTAATAATGATCCAATCGGATCCCAATCGGAATTGGTGATCCTATTTTATTTTACGTTCAATATTGTAGCTCTGTGAGTTTTTCGCCCTTTTGCATGGGCTGGGCTCATAATTGAAATACACTTGTAACAGTGTGAGCATACAGAAGTCTGGATGCAAAATTTGGTGGCTCTAGCTTTTATGGTCTATGAGATCCAGGCGCTCAACAAGACGGACAGACGGACGGACAGACACACAGACATGTCTATATCGACTCGGCTATTGATGCTGATCAAGAATATATGTACATACTTTATGGGGTCGGAAACGTTTCCTTCTGTGTTACATACATCCACTTTGTGCACAAATACAATATACCCCTATTTACTCTTCAAGTACCGGGTATAAAAATGAGGCGACTTCTGTGGCTCTCAAGTAAATATTTTGTAACCACTCTCTGCATAGAATCTTTTAGAAAAAAACATTTATTAAATCAATCCCTATATACACATAATTTGATGCAAAAAGCCGACTCAAAAGTTTAGTGAAACTGGATAAATTATTATGTCATTTGGTTTAATAGATTTCGCTTTCCGCGCTTACCCTATGGCCGTCCACACCAGCGTGACATTTTACACCGGCCCGACTGAACGTCATAACCAAACCCCTAACCTGAACCCTAAACCCGAACCGAACCCGCCCAATCGGCGAATGAGAGCCCAAACCAATTGTTTAATTGTTTTGTTTGGCCGCCGTTCCTCTTGGGGCAATAAAATCAGCCACGCTCCACGATTCCGCTCAAGTTTCAATTCATTTCAGTTTTTTTCCCAGTGGTTTTTTGTTCTTTTTGTTTTTTTGGGAGCATTACATATGAGTATTTTAAATGAAAATGCTTTGTGGTGTGGGGTGATATTATTTCACATCACTTTCAATTGTTTGAATGCTGATAAAGAAAATAAAATAAAACAAAATATACATATGAAATACTGTATGTTTTGCTGGTTATCAATGTGGAACTGTGTGGTTGGAGAGGGCGGACTACTCTTATTGTTATCGGTGTACAAAAAGATATATGGCTTGCAGGCATCCGTTTGCTTTCGGTTCGTTCGCTTCCATCAAAACAGGAATTTATGTCGATGAGTAATGAGGAGCATAGAGATTGTGGCTTCCTACAATTACTATCAAAATAAACTATTAGGAGACACAAACATACCCTCTCAAGTACAGGGGATATTAGTCTTAAATTCAATAAAATGATTCGCAAATCAAACTAAAAATTAATTTCTTTGAAATTCTGTTCTACTTAATCACTGCTTGTTTAGCTGATCATAGGAACCAGTTGTGAAATGTCTACATCTTGATGGATCATGTCTACGTCATGTTAGTCACAATGACAATACCAACCGACAAAGAATGGAACTAGAAACGGATGGGATTTGTGGTTCTGTTAATGAATTATTGTCAGAAATGTTGTCTTTATCTATTGCCAAACACTAAGATATTCTTTTAGTTATTGTGTCTTTTCTACACTCTGTTTGGAGAAATTAGACTTGTGTCAAAGGTCATGAATCTGTATACCAAAATGATGACAAAGTAGCCCAATGACCTGGACAACAACATATTTATGTCGCTTCCGATGGGGATCTAAATGTTTAATCTTGAACCGTGCACCGAGA